CCGTCGTATATAAATATAATCCAATTAGTAATTCTTACCTCATTGCACCTCTACAATTGTGTTATATGCCAGATACAAATAACACAGCACCATATAGTTGTTTCTGCTAGAAAACGATAATATTCTTCGCAATCTTCAACAGACATGTCGCTTCCCTTTAACTTGCAAAACATTGCAAGACCCGTCAACCTCATCCATCACCAAGACAACAAACCTCTGATTTACCAAAAACAAAAACAAAAAACCCAACATGGACAGCTCCATCAAAGTGTACGTTTCCTGGATACATATGGAGTCCGATACAATGCATCATAAATAAAAATTAGGGTAGAACAGGTTTTCAATCATCTTAATCTGTACAAAAAGTATGGCTTACAAAAGTGTCAATAAAACCATATTTCGAACTCAAAATCGAGAAAAAATAATAGGGCAAAAAATGAACAAAAGAAAAAAGTACAAATAGGACAAGACCAGGGATTTCAGATGATTTAGCGTTTTCTAAATCACTGATAACACCTGCCATAAAAATCTCTGTCAAATTCAAGTATTGTAACGTTCTTATAGCGAGAACATGGGTAGTGGCAAAAAATAGATAAATAAATGATTTACAGGCAGCACATGTAAGTGATTTTGTTTACATGTTAAAGGTCTGTTGATCCAATGAGATATATCTGGAACTCTGACACTCTGTTTATAAAGTGGCTTTTACTATTTCGATAAATACTGCTCCTAAGACATTATACATATTACTTCTACCGTCGAACACTACGCAAATAATGGAACTTAACCTTTTACTAGCAATCGCCACAGGTGTTAGTGGAAATAATATGGATATTATTCGATTTGTTAATAATTACAGACATTAATGAAAGTCATCATGTCACCATTACATGATAAACGCTTTTTGATAACGATATATCAATTATATCATAAATGATTCAGTATAAAGCTTTTAATTCAATATTACTGGGGGAAAAGTATAGTGTTGCATATATATCGCGCGCCAGTGGGATATATTAGGTAATTATTTCCTTGTTCACATCATAAAGTTGTCACGATGTGGTCATAAACAAAGATTTACTTAGTTTACATATGAGAATGCAACAGTGTCAGCATACAGCAATCACATGGAAACAGATAGCACATCGTCATAACAAGGTCAATGATCGTTTCCGTTCGATTTGGAAATTAATTAGTTTTCTATCATAACCATAATACCAAGATAGTTGCTATTAAAAATAATCAATCTGAAAAAAGCATGTGTATGTAGGTTGCATGCTGAAGAAATTTGTGAGAGTAGTTGACATGCTTTATTATGACGTGTACGATAAGAACGTGTCCATGTCAAGGTGAATTTAATTATATATTAACAGACACCATGTGCTTATCTAATGAAGTAAAGATATTACGCAATTTGCATTTTATCTACTTGAATTGGTAGCCACGTGGGTGTCTAGATAGTTAGTAACAGGGTTACAAAATCATGGTTTTGCACCTTTTATTCCTGAACAGTTTTTATTATATTTGCATATATGGTTGCATCATAGCGAGGTGGGCCCAAAATCAATCTTACCGCCCATACTTAGTACATTGTATTTGTACATTTTCCTGTCTTAACTCGTTTGGCGACGCCAGCATCACTTCCAATTTTGTTCTGTATTTTGTTCTATTTTGTGTTTCTGTACGAAATATGTTCATTTCTGTTAGTGGCTGATATTGCATGTTTGTCAAGAAAAAACTGATAATAGTCTCAGTAGCTTATTGATCTTTTTCAGCTGTTCAGGTGCAATGTAATTTTATCTTACAATATGTATAACATGATTACATCAACTCGATCGGTTGTTATATTTTATCTAGTGTCATGCCATTGAATTTTGTATCAAATAACCATCTACATAAACCTAGGCTATCATATATGGTCTTACCCAATGGTGAAACGAGTATTGTAAAAGGAAAGTACATTGCAATTTCGAAGGTTAATGTGGGTCATAAACTCGATCATTTGTAAATAATTCAATATAGTTTGGGTAGACCTTAAATATAATCTTTAACGCGATGGATGCCTTAGTCCTGAGAATATCCCGCGCTGATACAGCCCAGCTTTGTACTTTTCTGGCAGTTTGCTCTTATACTCTGCTCTCTTCTATTGGTCTGTATGCCTCTTGAGCTTCTTGGCGTTGTCGTTGTCGCACGACTGACTACATACAAATGTACTACAATGAAATTGCATTCATTATACTACTTCCCCAAACATTAATTGGTTTTTTTCGGTCATATTAAGTATCTGTTATCATTGGATTTTGAATTTCACTTGCCGTACTTTTTCTTTTTTTTGCACAATATATATTTGACTTCGGTTTAAGCTCAATTCGTGCCCCAAATGATCATTTTCTTCAGGTCTTTAAGTAGCAATCTGTTCCTTCAACGTCCGTTTAGTTGCTGAAGTCATGTCATCCATTAATTGGGTTTTAACAGAAGTAAAGACCAGTTAGGATTTCTACCTTTCTAGCCCTTTCTCCCGAATGAGCTAAAGAGAAATTATCTCTAGCCGAGTCGGTAAAAAGTGGTTATCAGCGTGACACGTTTATCTTTATAACACTATAGGTACATGTTAGTTCATTTGTTATAAGTCGTGGCTTGCACTTGGTATGATGCACGACTGATAACATACAAATGTACTACAAAAATGGTAACTTTCGCAGTGTGGAAATGTTTGCGTTTTTCATATTGAGTAAATTGGCGCGAAAATATCTACACACTAATATCAAATCATATATTATATTGATAAAAGATAAATACTGATTCCTCTCCTCTTGTTCGAAGTGCATACGTTATATGGTCACAAGCACACATGAAGATCAGGGTATGATTGATACTAGTTATTCTCATGGGGGCAATCTGTTCACTTCAAGTCGACCTATTTTTGTATTCATACCAAGGTGTATTTTTTTAATTGTATTTATTTAATTTCATTTTCTCGTTAGCAACATTCTTATCTCTTCTGCCAATGACATTTACATGTCCCTTTTTGGTACCACAACACCAGTTTCTAATGCAATGACATTCAAGATAAACGCTTCATGTCGACTAACTATCTACTCAGGCAGGTTTTTCCTACCTGCAAGGCTTCAATCCATGATATCATTTTCTAAGATCATCATCCTGTCTTAAACTCCTTCAATAATATTTGAATGTCTACCGTGATTTAAACCATGTTCGCGGTGTTACATATCATTGGTGACCTGAATACTCCCTGGGTTTGACGAGAAACGTCATGACAGGTGGCACATGTGGTACATGAAACGCTTAGCCTTCCGGAACACCTGGTCTCGCCTTCTTATGAGGATTTATAATGTCTTCACTTCTCTCAGTTCATATAGTGTTTCTTCAGTATTTATCATTCGTATTAGCGTCGATTTCAGATTTTACCTTAATTGGTGACAAGATACACGATCAAACAAAAAATAACAAAAACAAAAACATAACAAAAACAAAAAATAACAAAAACAAAAAATAACAAAAAACAAATATGTGTGTCGGATGTCATCGTTATAATGATAAAGACATGTAATTAACAATAATGGCCCCGCTGTTCAAAGCTGGAGTAGTTATAGAGTCGTTCTCTCAAATTTTTAACGCCTGGTCTTTTTTAATATACTTTCTCAAGATTTAAAAAAAATATTGTGCTTCTTTTCATTAGAAAATCAATATGAATCCTTTTACATATAATTTCAGATTTGAATGTGAATTGATCTGTGTTTTTCTGTGTTTAGTTGTCGTTAAACTAACAAGCCTTTGAACAACTGACCATATGTCGTTAATGAAACAATTACAGCATCGACATGATTATAGTTAAATTAATATACATTTTTGTTCTGCACCACTATTAAATGATGTGTAAAAGGATTACCAAACTTCACGATATTTTGTTTTATTTACATTAAAACATTTTTGACCTCGGTTCAAATACACCAGGAAATTCTATATGATATAAGACCTTTGTATATCGTGCGTTGCCCTGACGCTTTCTATTTTTAAAGCTCGCAAATTAACAGGTTTATCGACAGGGTAAAAACAGTTGACACTATTGGATTGCACAACTTATCCTTAATCAAAGCATCGTTCCAGTAAGGTCATTGATCGGTAGGCCATTAATCTAGTACAGTGGATTTAAAGCCACGAGACACATGTATAAATTAGATAAGTCACAGTCGCTTGTCTGTCTGTACTGAATTGTGTCCAGAGTGCTGTTATACTGATATCACCGTTTATTTTAATCCACAAATCTAAATGCAGGCGTTTGCATCCAAACACTTGTTTTTCTGATGTTTTGTATGTTAAGCTACGTAATGGGTATAGAAATCTTCGAACAAGAATTACAGAAACAAAACATAAAACAAAGCAAACAAAACACCCCATGCACACCTGTTTGTTTCTGCGGAACAACCGGTTTGACCGTTTATAAATGTTACAATTTCGGGTATAAATCCTGGCGGACCTTCAAATGTTTATGCAGGCCTTGCAAGGCTTTGTCAAGGCTCGCCTGAAAGCAGCATCAGATTTCTAGGTCCGATCTTATTTAATAAACGAACAACTGTGGTCCGACCGGTTTGGCCGTTTAAACGAAAACGGTCTAGGTTATTCCATTTTATAAATGCATGTGGGTGGTCGGGTGGCGCAGTGGATGACGCACTTGCCTTACACCAAGGCGGCTGGGGTTCGATTCCTCGATCGGACGTGAAAAGGTATGGAGTCACCTGCCCTACTACGTGGGTTTTCTCCGGGTAATCCGGTTTCCTCCCATATTAAGACACCCCCCTCTCCCGCGCTAACATCCGGGCTAAAAAGAGTGATTAATATAAGTTGTAAAACCTTGTTTCATGATAGTTGTAAAATAAATAAGTTAATATTATATTATGTGAATAACAAACACCTTTATATGCAAAATCAATCGTTGTTTATTCATTTTGGCAAAAATACAGAGGTAATTTAGTGCGTTTTACTTTTAGCAATTCAATTTAGACCAATTACAAATGAACATTTCAAAAAGAAACATCCAGTTTGTGATTTTTGAGGTAATCACATTTTACTTTTAACTTAAATGCTTTTTACAGGCCAAACTAAATATTAATGGATTAAACACCTTTCAAACATCAAATAAGGATATGCATTGTTGTGAATATGCACATATACTTCTGAGCACGCTGAACTGTCTTTACTTTTAGTATGATGCTTTAACATCATTTATGCAAACATCTGGTAAACATCTGGTTCCTTACTGTCAGGACGGGTGTAAGACTCCTGACAGACGTAGGTTTGCCTCATCAGATCAGTTCATCACGAGGATATGTCTTCTCCACTTCTCCGCTATACAAAAGTCCTGCAAATAATTTTAGAAAAAACCCTGAAAAATTATTAGCTTGAACTTTCTCTTTCTTGATAGTAACATTACGACTCCCACTTCCCATAGTGCGGGTCTCGTCGATGAAGCAGAAGACGCCTACCCTTTCAGAACTTCTAGTTTTATTTCCCTTGTACTTTTTCAAGAATTTCGATTTGTTGATATTCTGTCATAGTTTTAGCGATTTTCAAATCGAATCATGTTTTTGTTGATACTTCAATATTCTATTTTCAAGTCATGAAATTGGTATTTTAAAAACTCTAATATTAAAACAGAGTGTCATAATTTGAAAACTATCAAAAGATGAAAGCAAGACACACACATGTGAATGCACCTATACAATTTGTTAATTGCTGTAGTATGCGAATATCAGTTACACTGCACCACACAGCTGTTTCGTCCTTCTAAGATTCCTCGATAACGTTAGCGGCAAGCACTTACATGTATACAACAAGTACTATAAAGTATGCAAGAAACTATATATTATGCTTATTATCAATATAAAATTAACCGGTACTCCCTTACTTTTTTTTTAAATTCATGCAATTAAGGGGGTTTGACGCAAGATATTTCTATTTCAAAAGTAGTTTAGACCTGTATAGATTTTTTGCAGTTTGGTCGCTAAGGACAAGAAGACACATATGCTGGCATGGCTTTATAGAAAAAAATCCTATTCTTCTGTTCAGTGCACCTCCAATCTTTGATCAATTATATCAAACAGAAGAAAATGTTTTGTTTTTTTAAATATCTTTTATTTATTTTTGATTAACGTTACATATAAAACAAATGGACAAGAGATGTGCTAGAATAAGAATATATCTAGAATGAATATAATCGCAGTAAATTAAAGTTGGAGAGTCTTAAACCACCATTACATAAATGACTTTTGAATCAATGTTGTCTTACAACAGGAAATTGAGAGAGAACCAAATTTGTTTTCCTGAAATTTCGTTAGAGATAAGAAATGAATAAAGAATGTATCTGAGTAATGATTCCCTTTATTACGTTTTGATCAAACGAAAAGACTAAACAGCGTTGCTGCTGGCTTTACGGCATTCTAAAACATCCAACAAATCCAATTAAAGGTATAAATTGGTAACAAAGACCACAGGGTTAAGATGATTACCATTTAGATATACGTTATATCAGAAGTTAAATGAACTTGTTACATGTACCAACACAGACTTAATTGAAAAACGAATGCACCTAGAGCTTCACACAGAGGTGGTGTACGGAGAATATCGGGTTGCCATGACCTTACAATGGGACAGTATACAATGTTTGGAATATGGCGTGTTACCATGGCTTCACAATTGGGCAGGATACAATTCATTGAATATATCCAGTGTAAGCCTATGCTTTACAAAAAGGTAGCATACAGTGTATGTAATACGGCGTGTTGCCATGGCTTCCCAATGGGGTAGTATACAATGTATGGAATATATCCAGTGTAAGCCTATGCTTTTAAATAAGGTAGCATAAAGTGTATGGAATACGGCGTGTTGCCATGGCATCACGATGGGGCAGTATACAATGTATGGAATATATCAAGTGTAAGTCTATGCTTTGAAATATGGTAGCATACAGTGTATGGAGAATAGCGTGTTGCCATGGCTTCGCAACGGGGCTTATACAATGTAATGAATATATCCAGTGTAAGCCTATGCTTTACCATGAGGCAGTATACACTGTATGGAGAAATGAGTGTTGCCGTGGCTTTACCCTGTGAAATGCCTACAGAATCGAGTAAAAGCTTGGCATCACGAGAACGCGATAAGCAATCCATAGGAAATTGAGGGTAAGCAGGACTTCACAAATTGGCGGTACACACTGTATGGAGTGTTGGCTTCACGATATGGTACATACTGTATGGAGTGTGGGGTTCACAATAATGTTCACAATGTATTGAGTTAGTATTAGAAAGGCTTTACAATAAGGTACATACGGTATGAAGTGTACGAAGGGCTTCACAATAAGGTTCACAATGTATGGAGTGTAAGAAGAGCTTCACAATAAGGTACATAGTGTAAAGAGTGTAAGAAGAGCTTCACAATAAGGTACACAACGTAAAGGGTGTAAGAAGGGCTTCACAATGTGGTACACAATGTAAAGAGTGAAAGAAGGGCTTTACAATAAGGTACACAATGTAAAGAGTGTAATATAAGAAGGGCTTCACAATAATGTACACAATGTAAAGAGTGTAATATAAAAAGGGCTTCACAATAATGTACACAATGTAAAGAGTATAATATAAAAAGAGCTTCACAATAATGTACACAACGTAAAGAGTGTAATATAAGAAGGGCTTCACAATAATGTAAAAAATGTAAAGAGTGTAAGAAGGGCTTCATAATAAGGTACACAATGTATAGAGTGTAATATAAGAAGGGCTTCACAATAATGTACACAATGTATAGAGTGTAAGAAGGGCTTCACAATAAGGTACACAATGTAAAGAGTGTAATATAAGAAGGGCTTCATAATAATGTACACAATGTAAAGAGTGTAATATAAAAAGGGCTTCACAATAATGTACAAAATGTAAAGGGTGTAATATAAAAAGGGCTTCACAATAAGGTACACAATGTAAAGAGTGTAGGAAGGGCTTCACAATAATGTACAAAAATGTAAAGAGTGTAATATAAAAAGCGCTTCACAATAATGTACAAAATGTAAAGGGGGTAATATAAAAAGGGCTTCACAATAAGGTACACAATGTAAAGAGGGTAGGAAGGGCTTCACAATAATGTACAAAAATGTAAAGAGTGTAATATAAAAAGCGCTTCACAATAATGTACACAATGTAAAGAGTGTAATATAAGAAGGGCTTCACAATGATGTACAAAATGTAAAGAGTGTAATATAAAAAGCGCTTCACAATAATGTACACAATGTAAAGAGTGTAATATATGAAGGGCTTCACAATAATGTACACAATGTAAAGTGTGTAATATAAGAAGGGCTTCACAATAATGTACAAAATGTAAAGAGTGTAATATAAGAAGGGCTTCACAATAATGTACACAATGTAAAGAGTGTAATATAAAAAGGGCTTCACAATAATGTACAAAATGTAAAGAGTGTAATATAAGAAGGGCTTCACAATAATGTACAATATGTAAAGAGTGTAATATTAAAAGGGCTTCACAATAATGTACACAATGTAAAGAGTGTAATATAAAAAGGGCTTCATAAAAATGTACACAATGTAAAGAGTGTAATATAAAAAGGGCTTCACAATAATGTACAAAATGTAAAGAGTGTAATATAAGAAGGACTTCACAATAATGTACAATATGTAAAGAGTGTAATATTAAAAGGGCTTCACAANACACAATTTATAGAGTGTAATATAAGAAGGGTTTCACATTAATGTACACAATGTAAAGAGTGTAATATAAGAAAGGCTTCACAAAAATGTACACAATGTAAAGAGTATAATATAAGAAGGGCTTCACAATAATGCACACAATGTATAGAGTGTAAGAAGGGCTTCACAATAATGTACACAATGTTAAGAGTGTAATATAAGAAGGGCTTCACAATAATGTACAAAATGTAAGAGTGTAATATAAGAAGGGCTTCACAATAATGTACAAAATGTAAGAGTGTAATATAAGAAGGGCTTCACAATAATGTACACAATGTAAAGAGTGTAATATAAAAAGGGCTTCACAATAATGTACAAAATGTAAAGAGTGTAATAAAAGAAGGGCTTCACAATAATGTACACAATGTAGAGAGTGTAATATAAGAAGGGCTTCACAATAATGTACAAAATGTAAAGGGTGTAATATAAAAAGCGCTTCACAATAATGTACATAATGTAAAGTGTGTAATATAAGAAGGGCTTCACAATAATTTACACAATGTAAAGAGTGTAATATAAGAAGGGCTTCACAATAATGTACACAATGTATAGAGTGTAAGAAGGGCTTCCCAATAATGTACACAATGTAAAGAGTGTAATATAGGAAGGGCTTCACAATAATGTACAAAATGTAAAGGGTGTAATATAAAAAGCGCTTCACAATAATGTACACGATGTAAAGAGTGTAATATAAGAAGGGCTTCACAATAAGGTACAAAATGTAAAGGGTGTAATATAAAAAGCGCTTCACAATAATGTACACAATGTAAAGAGTGTAATATAAAAAGGGCTTCACAATAATGTACACAATATAAAGAGTGTAATATAAGAAGGGCTTCACAATAATGTACACAATGTATAGAGTGTAAGAAGGGCTTCACAATAATGTACACAATGTAAAGAGTGTAATATAAAAAGGGCTTCACAATAATGTACACAATGTAAAGAGTGTAATATAAGAAGGGCTTCACAATAATGTACACAATGTAAAGAGTGTCATATAAGAAGGGCTTCACAATAAGGTACACAATGTAAAGAGTGTAATATAAAAAGGGCTTCACAATATCTAATCCGTATGATATCATTTACTCGATCGGAACCCCGGAAGTAGAACTTCAGTAATATAAGTGACTAAACGTGAAAATCAGCATTGACCAAAATTCACCAACTGTATAGTATTTACTACCTGTTTTGTCAATGCAGACAGAAGTGAGTAAAGTAGATGTTCTGTAGTAAGACACAATATAAGGGAACCTATGTACATCTGAATGACTTAATGATGTTTGCCAAATTTGAATAGCTCTGATATCCTTTTCGTAGTATTGAACACTGGTGTCTAATCCATATGCTTCTAACTTTCTTCATTCTAAAACATTAATTCAATCAATTCATCTTACTGTTGTTTTTTGTCGATTTTTGCGTTAATAAAGAACATTTTCCTAAGTGTTTTCAGATTCTAATGAGAGGATTTCTTTCGAAACACAAGCTCGAAGTTCGCTGAAAAAAAACCCATTTACGGCTTCGTTGTCATTCAAACGGTATTTCCAGCCCGACAATGTCGTCTTGAGCACCATAAATACACATTACCCACTTCAAAACGTCAACGTTT